TTCGAGACCTAGGTTGAAGGGTTTAGATTGGTGTCCTTTAGATGAGAGGAAAGTTAATTAGATGGAAAGACCTTTTGAGTTGGAGGAAATTAAGATTCCGGTGTTTTGAGTGTAGCAAAGAGAAAGCTCTGGGGCCAAATGGGTTCACTATGGTTTTATTTTAGGAATGTTGGGATGTGGTGAAAGATGATTTGGTGAGAATTTTTACGGAATTTTTCAATAATGGGGATGATTAATGCAATTATAGATGCTACATTCATTTGCTTAATCTCGAAAAAAGAGAATTCCTTGAAGATTAAGGATTTCAGGCCAATAAGTCTCGTTACAAGTTAGGACAAAATCATTGCAAAAGTGTTATCACTAACACTTAGGGAAGGGTTTAGTGACACCATTTCAGGGTATCAAGGTGCTTTTATTAAAGGAAGATAGATTTTGGATGTGGCTTTAGTGGCCAATGAGGTGGCAGAGGATTATAGGGCTAGAAGATTGGAGGGTATTGTGTTCAAAATTGACTTTGAGAAGACTTATGATCATGTGGATTGGAATCTTGGACTTTGTTTTGGAATCCATAGGCTTTGCGTTGAGATGGAGAAGGTGAATTCAAGGATGTTTGCAATCCATGAATTTCTTAGTCATGTTGAATGGTAAGCCTAGGGGTAAGTTCAAAAGTATCTAATGGTCTTAGATACAGTGATCCTCTTTCGCCATTTTTGTTTACTTTAGTGGTGGATGGATTGAGTAGACTTGTGATGAGGGCCAAGGAGAGTCACTTGGTTGAGGGCTTTATGATAGGGAGAGATAGAATATCTAGTTCTCATTTGCAATTCGCTGATGACACCATCTTTTATTCTTTGGGGGATGAGAAGTTATTGAATGTTAAAAAGATTATTGATGTTTTTGGTTTTGTTTCTGGCCTTAAAGTTAAAATGGAGAAAAGTTTGATTGTTGGAATTCAGTTAACTCTAGCTAGGATAAGTTGGATAGGTTGGCATTTGTCTTGTGATGTTCAGTTGGAGTGTGGCCTCTTAAGTACTTGGGTTTGCCTTTAGGTGGTAATCCATTGTCTGACTCTTTTTTGGGATCCAGTTATTCACAAAGTAGGAAAAAAGTTAGATGGGTAGAAGAAGGCTTACATTTCTAGAGGAGGTAGAGTTACATTGGTTTACTCTTTATTGACAAGCATTCCTATATATTTTTTGTTTCTCTTCAAGATGCCATGTGAGGTGTCAAAGATGATTGAGGGAATGATGAGATATTTTTTATGGGAAGGAATGGAGGAGGGGAAAAAGGATCACCTCATTTGTTGGTAGGTGGTGTCTAGGCCAAAATCAAAAGGGGGACTTTTGGTGGGAAACTTGGTGGCTAGAAATGAGGCTTTGGTCGGTAAAATGCTACGGAGATTTCCTTTGGAGCAAAATTTGCTATGGCATTTGGTTATTAAAAGTAAGTACGGCTTACACTCTAATGGGTGGGATGCTAATGGGGTTGATTGGGTTACCGAAATCTTTGGAAATTCATTTCACAGGGGTTACCTTATTTTGCTCAATGGGTTAAGTTCAATGTGGACAATTGGTTGAGAATTCATTTTTGGAAGGATATTTGGATGAGAGAGTTATCATTCTCAAGTTCATTTCCTCATTTATATAGACTTTTTCTAATCATGATCATAGTGTTGATTCGTTGGCTAGGTCGGATTCTAATCCAATTGCTTGGAACTTTGGTTTTCGTAGAAATTTAAATGCTATAGTCTTCGGAGTTAGTTTTTCTTCTTTCTTTGCTTAATCCTATCACTTTGAATCATAATTCTTTGGATAAAACCTTCGGGTTCTTTCTCATGTCAGGGTAAGGTGCCACCAAAAGTGCAAGTGTGTGCATGGGGTGATTTCTCACGGTAAGGTTAATACGTTTAACATGTTACAAAGGAGGAGCTCTTACACTAATTTGTGCTCACAATGGTGTGTTATGTGTAGAGCAAGTTGTGAGAGTGTGGAACATTTATTTTTACATTATGCTACTGTATTATTCCTATGGAACAAATTATTCAAGATGATGGGAGTTTGGTGGGCTGCCTCGCATTCAATCTCCTTGATGTTGTCGATTGAATATAAAAGTTTGGGTGGTGGTGTTCTTTGGAATTGTGTGGGTCATTTGGATGGAAAGAAATGCTAAAATTTTTGAAGATAAAGAAGATATGAAGGAAGGGACGTGGGATTGATTTTATTTCTTTGCATATTTTTGGGTCTCCATTACAAAGGAGTTTGAACGTATCTCTCTTTTTGGTATTACTTCAAATTGGATGACATCGTGTGGGAGATAATTTTCTTTTGATGACTGTTTGTTTTTTTTTTTTTTTTTGTGCTCATTTTTTGTGTGTCTAAGGGTTGGACTACTTCACCCTTTCTTGCATTTTTTTTTTGGTTCTTGTCAATGAAAAGTTTGTTTCTTATAAAAACAAATTTAATGTGCTCCAAAATCCCATTTAAAGACGAAATTAAACTTCCTCTCTCAAATTTTTTGGGTCAAAATTCTTCTCATTTATCGTTAGGCATGTCATCTTACATCCCACAAACTCTTACCAGCCAATCTCCATTCCCTATCTTGAACCGGCAACACCACCGCCTAATCCTTATCCGACACTATTTCCCCTTCCCCTCTACGAAAATCCACCTCCTTTCACAAGAAACCCTTGCTTGATTTCTCCAGAGAAAACCAAATTTCCAAACCACAATCCCTCAGTAAACCCCCTCCTCCTTTCGATGGAAACCATCACCACGAACAACTCCCGACAAAACCCCTCCCTTTCTATCACAAAATCATGGCGTTGGCAACCACACCAACACACAAATATGCACCCCATCACACGAGACCCTGCAACCCCCTTCCCCTCCAAACATCGATTGTCATTGATAGAGGAAGAGCACTTTAGAGAGAGAGAGAACCATTAAAACCATCCAAACCCACTGTGATCTATGGGGAAACTTTCTTTGATTTGTTTGCTCTACCATTCTTTTTAATTTGTAGTTTTCCCCTTCTTTTTTGTAGTTAATTGGCTTGTTGATTTGGAGGTTTTAAGAATTGGGCTTATGAGAGTTGAGTTTTGTGGGGAGGTTGAGAAGGTTGGGAACTCAGGTTAGGGTAGATGTTGAGGTAAGATTGCAACTGTGACAAATTGTTGATAGAGGGACGAAGAGTGGATGGATTGGTGGTCTGGGAGTTGGGTGCAACTCCTTTGCTGTGAAGAAAAGATAACACACAGTGTTGTTAGAAATAATGACACGGTTTTTAATTAGTTTGCACAACAAATGTTGCTCCCAAAAAATGGCATAGTTTAGTATACATTTCTAAAGTTAAAAATTTTTCCTCGGAACAATCCCTAACTTATCTCTTTTGCACACCACCCTTTCCCCCTAAAACAAACCTTTCTGCATCTCATGGATTCAATGTTTGGGATTATAAGAGTCTGAACAAAGGTTGAGAAACAATTCTCCTGACGGACTCCACGTCGCTCAAATCATACAAAAAAATTGTTGATATTTGAGACAACCTCATGCTTCAGGTTGTGAAGGCATTGCGTTCCAAGATGAATGGCCATACATAATTCATGTCTTAGCTTATATTAATGTCATTGCATTAACAGTGCTTGATGCCTATAGCCATCAATCCTTGCTGTAGTGACTGCTTGGAAAATCATTCAGATTTGGTGCTCATGAGAGGTGGAGAAAAGTTGCCGAGACTGCAGAGCGAAGTATTATTTTGGTATGCAAAGCTTCTTATGTTTTTTTTCTAGGTAAAAGTTTTTATACTGCACAACATAAAATGGTCTTGAGGGGATGAACTCCTTAAACTTGTAAAGATTACTTCACAATTATTTTATCAAAGAAAATTTTCTAATGGCAGTCGTCCCCTCCACCGTCTATATCCATGAGATGCAGATAGGGTTTTGAAGGGTAATTTAGTGATTCACATTTTTCATCCACCCAGTTTTTTCCTTTCATCTCGGGAAAAATTTAAGGGGGCAGATTGTTAAAATTGTAACCAAAGAGAGTTCATTGCACATGACCCAAACATGAAGGGGGTAATTTGTAATTAACTCTTTTTTGTTTAATAAATTTTAGAATTTGATGTAAATAAAAATAAATGTGTGTACACCTGAGGATAAGGGTGTACCTTGGGCGAGCTAACGTACCCAACCTGTACTCAAACCTAGAAAAATCAGTACTTGGGTTTACTTTTTTAAAACTTGGGTTGGGCTTGGACAAAAAATTCTCAATTCGGTTGGGCTCAGGTTGAGACTTCGGGTTCACGGGCTCAACCCAAGCCCGGACCAAATTGCTAAAAATAGGGTTCAACCTGAGTTTTTATTTAAGCATTAAAAATGTGTCTTATGTAAGTATTAGAAAAATCTGTAATATAAAACAGGACAGACTTCAATAAGCCCATTTGTAGTTTCAAATAAATTCATCCAACGGCTACCAACATCCCTCTCAAAATCATTTACATTGCATTGTGCCTTCAGACACAGGTTACTACAAGTACATATATAAAGGGCCGCATATGTGTGTAATTTAAGCTTTAAATATGTTAAAATCCCACATTAGTTGCACACAAAAAAAGTCTCTCCCTCTTGTATATAAAGAATGCAAACTCCATGTGGCTTGTTCCTTTAATGGGTTTGGTTTCATTGGGCCTATGTGAGTTTAATAAAAGAATTAAAGGCATAAACATATATAAAAACCCAAATTTAACCTGAAAATTGAATCCTATTTAATAATTTGGGCTCAACTTGAGTTCAATCCGAGCGAGCATTACTCGGGTTGAGGTGTTTCAGGTTGAAGTCGGGTTTGGGTTGGGCTCGAGTTAAGATTTTTATAACTTGGGCTTGGGTTAGCCTCCCAACCCTCCCAAGTTGTAGCCCAACCCAAGGATTGTTTTTTGGCTCCGCCCGATCCTATGGCAAACACTGACTCTGATCACAAACCCTAATCAACAACAATTCCCTGATGGCAATTTCCCTGGCATGTACCGACGTGGACCGCATGTTCGGTGTCATTGAAATACTGGTCACCTCCCTCGCCAACCGCTCTATCACCCTTGGAATCTGATTCATCGCCTTGCACAAGGAGCAATCCATCGGTTACGTCGCCTTAGCTTACGGATATCTCACCGGCTGGTCGGGAATCCTCCTCGTCGTCTACGACCTCGGCTACGTCCATGGCCTCGCAGTTCTCTTCAATGCTAGCGTTAATGCTTGGCCCTTGGTCATGACTCATGATCTCCAGCGCGTGCGACCAAAAAGACTTTGGCTGTGATGACTTTCAAGAGTTCAATCAAACCGCAGTGGTTAAACTCTCTTGGGAATTTCCCACAAAAGCCGTTGATATCAAACTTATCCCTAATTGTGTTTTCGATGTTATTCACTAGGGAAAATTGGGCCGACCTAATGGGTTTTATTTGGACTTGCCCTCCGATGTGCTTCACCCAACTATTATTGAATTGGTGGCCGAGAAATTGATAACTGATGCTCCAAATTGTAGAAATGAAGAGGAAGAAGTGATGGGAACTGTCGGACATTCGGAGATTGAAAAGGCATTTTCGATGTTGAGAAAGGCAGAGGGGCTGTTGATTGTGTTTGGAAAGGCGTTGCCATTGCTGGGCGTTGCCATTAAGCCAAAAAAAGTCGGTCGAAAGTACTGGAATTCCATTTTTACCAAAGCCAACGAAAAAGGGCTTGTTGCGCGGTACACATGAGCAAGATGCAAAGGTGGCGAGGTCAACTGGCAATTGGGAAATGTGACGTTGCATTGGTGGTTGGTGCAAGGCTTAATTGGTGGTTGCATTTTGGGGAACCTCCAAAATGGCTATGGATGTGAATTTTGTGTTAGTTGATGTATGTAAGGAAGAGATTGTCTTGAGGAAACCAAGTCCGGGATTGGTTGAGGATGTGAAAAGGGTTGTGGAGATGATTAATAAGGAGATTAATGTGACCTTTTTGTTTGGGGAAGAATCATCATTGGGTTGAGACGATAGCGAAGAAGGCTAAGAAAAAGTGTCAAGAATGGAGGCATAGTTGGCTAACGGTGTTGTGTAGGTCAATTTTATGACACCAATGAGGATAATTAGGGATGCAATTTTGGGATTTGGTAGTCCTGCTCCCATATTGGTGTCTGAGGGGTTGAACACAATGGATGTTTGTCGGGGCTGTGTTACGGAGCTGAGGAGCAGGTTGGATGATGGAACTTGGGGGACTGGTCTGGGATATTGCATTGCTGCGGCAGTGGCTTCTCCTCGGCTTCTGGTTGCTGTTGAAGGTGATTCTGGATTTGGGTTCACTGCCATGGAACTCGAGGTTTATTCCCTTACCAAATATTTATCGTTCACTTAGTGCTACTTGAAAACCGAACACTCATAGACTGCCTTATTTCATTCAATTATGAAAGAACATAATGCTGATGTTGAAAAATTTATCTTCTCAATGATTTCATATGGATTTAGCTGGAATGTTGTGTATTTAGATGAATGAAGAAGTATTTTTTTTAAGTTTACCGTTTTTTCCCCTTTCAACTAGTTTGGATTTTGTATTTGCATTTTCTAGCTGTTTGGGGGATTCACAATTAATTTCAAAGGCTCCAGTTAAGAAGAAACATTATGCATAATCTAAACATCTTTCCTCTAAGGGATAGCAAATGATATTCTAGTTGCCTGAAACTTACTGTTCTTGGACTTTGCTAGAGGCAAGAACCTTGTACACACCTTTTTATTCTTATAGCTCTAGCAAAAGCATGTTGTGATTGGCTATTGAAAACAGATAATGCACATTTTAATGTTCAGGGTTTAAGTTACTTGTATTATTAAATTTATATGTTTTATTAACAATAGGTTCTGAGTGTAGAGTGCATATTTAGTTGTCACCACTTACATATCTTATAATCAGAATATGTTGTTTGCGCAACACTCTCCTTTGTTTTATAATATCCTATTGATTGGTGCCTATTTATCTAAGAAATAGATATTTAGTCACCTTTGTCAAAATCTTGTTGGTGGTATTTTTGGTCATTGGTCATGGCACGATGTTATCCAAACTAAGTGGTAACAGACACTGTTTAACTGCCAGACATAGTCAATGATCATTGTTTTCTTCAAATGCTTGTGATGCAATAGTGGGGAAGTACTTTTTCATCGAAGAATTTTCTGCAACCAACTAGACATAGCCTGGTATGGACATTCATTTTGTTCAACATCAATTGATTCTATTAGTCTTTTGATTTTAGTAGTGTGGAATGTCTCTTGCAATGGCATATGCCCTTTTAGTGGCAAACACTTTGTTTAGAAAACGAGAAGAACATCTAATAACCTTTAAGAGCGGACCAAACAAAAGCCAAGTAGATTACTTCTTAAGTAGAAGAACGGACCGATTAACATGTAAAGATTGTAAGGTTATCCCGGGAGAAAGTTTAACATCTCAACATAGGCTAATAATTTTAGATTTATATATTAAAGGGCAACATAGAGTACGGAGAAGCATTAGAAAAACAAGAATGAGATGGTGGAATTTAAAAGATGAGAAACTAGTACTATTTATGAGTAGAATGCTTAAAGAGGCTTTATGGAACTTAGAGGATTAGACTTAACGTTATGTGGGGTAGGATGATAGAAGACATTAGGAAAATTTTGTGAGGTTTTGGGGAGTCAAAGGGTAGAGGGCTTGTGGAAAAAGAAACTTGGTGATTGAATGACGACGTACAAGAGGTAGTTAAAGTAAAAAAAGAATCTTTTAAGAGATGGCAAAATGATAGAAATAGATAAAACTTTCAAAGATATAAATTAGTTAACAAGGAGGTGGATATGATAGTTAGAGATGCTAAATTAAAAGCTTATGACAAGTTGTGCAAAAAACTAGATAGTAAAGAGGGAGAAAAAAACATCTACAAACTAGCTAATATTAGAGAAAGGAAAACAAGAGACTTTAATCAAGTTAAGTGTATCAAGGGCGAGGATGGAGAAAGACTATTTTGAGAAACTATTAAACGAAAATCACTTAGGAAACCTAGAAGAGATAGAAAATGGTAGGATTTATGAAATTTTCTTTCGTAAAATAAAGAATTCGGTGATAGAGTTTGTATTGAAGAAAATGAAATTAGTCAAGGCTTTAGGATCGGATGAAATTCCAATTGATGTTTGGAAGTACTTAGGGAACGAGGGGGTGTCGTGGTTAATGAAATTATTCAATAGAATTATTGCTAATAAGAAAATGCCCGATGAATGGAGAAAGAGTATTTTAGTACATATGTATAAAAATAAGGGAGATATTCAAAATTTTAATAATTATAAAGGGATAAAATTGATGAGTCATACAATGAAATTATGGGAAAGAGTCATTGAACAGCGCCTAAGAGTTGAGACTACAGTGTGGGAAAATAAGTTTGGGTTTATGCCGAGTAGATCAACTATAGAGGCTATATATTTATTGAGGACACTCGTAGAAAAATATAGAGAGATGAAGAAAAATTTTCATATGGTATTTATAGATCTAGAAAAGACATTTGATAAAATACATAGAAATATAATATGAAGGGTGTTTAAGAGAAAAGAGTGATAAATAGGTATATTGAGGTGATAACATATATGAGGGGACTATGACTACAATTTGGTCTTCCGTGGGAGAAAGTAAAGAATTTTTGATTACACCAAGTATCAACCCTAAGTCTATACCTATTCGCCCTAATTATGGATGAACTCACTAGGTCCATTCAAGATGATGTTCCATGGTATATGCTATTTGCAAATGATTTTGTATTAATAAATGAAACTCGAAGGGGCATTAACAATAAGTTAAAAATTTGGAGACACATACTCGAGTCGAAAGAGTTTAAAATAAGTAGGAATAAAACTAAATATATGCAATGCAATTTTAGTAATAAAAGAAATAGATATAGTGAAAAAGTTAAGATTAAAAATCAAGAAATACCAATGAGTACACAATTTAGACATCTAGGATCGATCATTAAAAATGATGGAGAGATCGGAGATGAGGTGATTTATAGAATCAACGCCGGTTGGCTTAAGTGGAGGAAAGCCTATGACATATTATGTGATAGGAGAATACCAATAGAATTAAAAGATAAGTTTATCGAACAGCTATAAGGACAACAATGTTGTATGAGACAGAATGTTGGGTAACTAGGAAACAACATAGTGATAAAATGAGTGTAGCGGAAATGAGAATGCTAAGGTGGATATGTAGAAAAACTAGAAATGATAGAATAAGAAATGACCGTATTAGAGAAATGGTAGAAATAACTCCAATTGAGGATAAGTAAAAAGCAAATAGATTGAGATGATTTGGTCATGTTCAGCGGAGTCCGATAGAGGCACTGGTTCGAAAAAGTGAGATAATCTCTCTTAATAGTACTAGAAGTAGGGGTAAATCTAAATTAACATTGAACAAAGTAATAAGAAAATATTTGAAAATATTTAACTTAAATGAGCGTATAATGTATGATCGAAATGAATGGCGAATACGGACTGATATAACCGACCACAAATGATTGGGACATAAGACTTAGTTTAGTTTTGTGTGGTTATTTGATTTGTTATTTAGTCAATTCTTAACTAGGATATATTTTGTTCCTAGCTCCTTTAGAAATGGAAATTTTTTTACACGAACGTAGTACTGTGGAATTACTTTGTGTACCAGGTTGTTTATCTTGTGATCACACTCTTCTATACCTTAGAGTTGTTGCTCTGTCCATGTGTTCTCCCATAAAGTTAATTCTTCGGACTTGTGAGACATTGCAACAGTGATTGTTTCAGCTGTTCTATTTTTGTAGAATTTGTTCACTTTTGAAAACAACAATTTAAACTAAATTATATCTTTTTAAGGATGCATTTATTGGGTTTTTCTTGCTTTTGGCCCATCTTGGAATATGACCTAGTTGTACGTGGAAAAAGTATTGCATGACAATTTCATTTCTACCTTATACCAATTTGCTATGTGCCTTGTTTTTCCAATTCTGTTGGGTTGCTAAGCAGTGACTCGGCTGAATCATATCCTACTCGGTGGCCTCCGATCCAGTGTGAACAAAACTGGATCAGCCAGTCAGACCGGTGAATGGGGCTCTTAATCGGTCCGATTTACTTAACAGACTGTTGGTGTAATTGAATCATTGGAGAACATCTAAATTAGTCGGTTTTGGCCAAAATCGGTGAACCGGATGGTTTTCTAAATAACTCAATACAATAAAAAATTATTAAAGTTACTTTTTGGGGCAATTTTGCCCTACAGATAAGATGAGACCTCTTCTTCTTTGTTTTCTCCGACAATTCTCCATACATACAAAAGAACAGCGACCAGTGGACACACCATATGTAACGCCCCAACTCGGGGGTGTACTTTTGTTTGTTAATTAAAAATAGAATCTCGAATATTTTCAACCAAACCTTGTAACCTGGGTACATACACGAAAAAACCTGCATCTTTATAATCGTTGAGATAGTCAAAAGAGAGTTTAAGTTTAGAAACAAGTTAGGTGAGCAGCACTCTGCTACATCACACATACTTATAGACCACCAGATTCATTTACAAACTACAAATTCCAAAATGCTACAACCAAAAGGAAAATACAAAAGACTCCAAGGTGACAACCCCACGACCTCCTAGACTCGGCAGTGGACTCCACTCATGGCATTGGACTCTTGAAACATTACACCACAAAAAGGTGAGCATGAAAAGCTCAGGAAAAACAACATACAAAGTTACAATGCTGAAATATTATTCTTCTAATTTGAATATCATCCTAACTTCATAAAAGTGAAACCACCAAATAAACACCCCATTTGAGCAACTAACATAAACTTATATAGGTTATCTTCATCAACAAAGTCATCGTTGCCATAAAGCTTATTCCATTACATAGATAATATCCACCATACAAGCATAAGTCATCACTCGACAATATTTGCTACATAAACATTTTCTCGTCACACAAACAATAATCGTCACACAGACCATACTCGCCACATAAGCATGATTCATGACACAGACAATAGTTTGCCACATAGGCATGATTCGTCACACATACAGTAACTGCCACATAGGTATAATCCATCACACAGACAATATTTTTCCCTTTCACCAACACTTCTTCATACAGTAATAATTTGATAACAAGTAATCTTACTATACGAACTAGATATGTGAAATAGCACACTCACCTTGGTTTAGCTTCTATCTCAGGTGCTGGTCTCCCGTCGGAGCTTTAGGTGGAACGGCCGAAGATGTGTATGTCTTCATACCTAACACACATGTTATCACAATTGCATTTAAATACTTCTTATGTAAACATTATATTGTAAGTGCACATCTGTATATATGTTTATCCTTTG